AGTGGGCAGATGGCGCGTTGTGTATTTCGTGCGCCTGCGCAGTAGGGACCGACTTGTGACGCTAATAAGCACAAATGGAATGCGCAAACCGCGAACGAGGAGGGTCTGCTGAACTCCTTTGGTTCGTATGATGATTTTACTGCACATTGTAAAAACTGACTGTGCTCATTGTTGGGTCTCGTTTCTTTTCGTATTGTAAGCAGCTGTGTTAAGCATGTTAATATTCCAGCTTATGTATAAGTCACTCAATGGCTTTAATTGTGACAGCAGTGAGAGTGATAAGTGAACGCCAGAAGAAGTGAGAGAGACAGAGAGGCTTGTAGTGGGGGGGAAAAGATTTCCCCAAGGGCAGGGCCAGAAGAAGTGAGAGAGAGAGAGAGGCTTGTAGTGGGGGGGGAAAAGATTTCCCCAAGGGCAGAGGTGGAATTGGAATCACCAGATTGTGTTATTGTCTCCCTGCTGTATTAACGTAAATGTTCGTCGATTGTTACCTTGGATTCGGATCTGATATTGCAGCATGGCACTGGACGATACGCCGACTGTCCATTCTTTCTTTGAAAAACAGTTTTAATTCGCACTTTTTCACTTGTAGGTTATATACCTTCATAAAGTGCGATAGAGCACCTGGTAGTGTGGTTGCTTGTGGTATAGCCGACTCGTGTTGTATTCCGTGCACCAGATATAATCTGTTTCCGCGGAAGAACACAAACCTTTGCGTTAGAAAGTAGTACATTTTAGGAATTTATAAAGTGACAGTCAGATCGGAGGAGGGTACACTGCCATAATGCAAAACTGCTGGTTCTGATCTGTATTTTCACTGACCTGGGTTCCGCTGTCAGCTGGAACGGTGTACGATTCCGCGGTGACCTTGAAGGTTAGCGTTAGGTGACGGCCAGAAAAGATTATAGTATCGTAACGAGTTGATGTTTGATTGGGAGTTCTCTCAATTCAACCTGTAATGAAATGAATGGACTTGTCACAAAATGGAGAGTTCTGTAGTTGGGTTCTTTTAAAGGCAGATTCTAACCTAAGTGAATATTGTCCCAATTCTGTGGGAACAAGAAATCTTTCCAGTTGTGTTTTTGTTGGAAAAAAGAAACTGTAGGATTTTTTAGTAGCTTTCTCTAGCAGTTAAATGATCAGATATTTTTAGATCAGAATTATTCCTCCCCGCGAAGAATATATTTCTTGGGTGTGGGATGATTTCTGCGTATTATCTGACGAGAAAAGATTTGACCTTGGCAGTGTGGATGAACATTTGGGGGGGGATATGACCCCTTATCAAAAATATTCGGCTTGAACTCAGTATAGCGTTTTAAAAAATTCGTTTCAGTTGATTTACCGACTCTAGTGAATTCGCACTGTCAAATTCAAAGCATTTTTGGTTGGGTCAAACGTCATGCCATTATAAGTTTGATATTCTGATTTTATATTCAAGGAATACTTATAATTGATTTATTTCTTAGACAGTGTTCAGAGTATAAATGGAGGATATCCTTTTCCGTTTATATGAAGTCCGTACATAAACCACTAAAAGCTATTTTATGTTTCTATAGATTTCTATCACCGTATCTTCAGTGTAACTAAACCAAAACGATTTTCGGAAATTCTGGAAAATCCGCTTCATTTTTTTGATTCTCAGGTTCTGTTACTATTTTCCAGGGCTTCCACGGATAAATATCTCTGATTCCGTATTGCAACACGAAAGTAATTCTATGAACGAATTATATTTTTAAATTAAATCTGCTCCTGCTTCAAAGTCATTCATTCTTGACGGAAACAACTGAAACTACTTCACACATTACGCTTTTCAAATGGGGGTACTTACGGTGGAGACCCCCCCCAACTCTCAGAAATAAAACCACTATGTCTGCACAGATGGTCTGCAAATTTTGTAGGCACATTTCTTAGTACAGGCTTGCCCAAACTTTTTTGTTGGGGAAACTTCGGCAAAATTTGGTCTGTATGCGGGCAACATGAAATTCAATACATAAAATCTACGTATCTTTATATACATTACACACAAAAATATACTGATGTTAATGTGAAAAATTAGTAAAAAAAAAAAATGTAATTCGCAACCTCGGCTAGGGTGTGTTTATTTTTAACATATTTTTACAAAATGAATTAGTAATGTCATGTGTGTCTGCATAAATAAAAAGCTCATAACCTTTTAAAAATATTACTGCATAGATTTTAACGTGGGTGTGATCTTTTGCACAAGACCGACGTTGAAACTATCAGAAAAAAGCCACTGCTCGTCCCCGAAACGATGCAAGTCGGCAAAGTTATTTTAATCCCGGCAAAGGCAATCGGGATTTATGAAGGGGTCACTGGGGAATGTGGAATTGCTTCAGCGTTCTGGCGCTCCGTTGCCAGGGATAAGATTAAAAGACGTCTTCTTATTTCAAATGTATCCGCGGGAAACATAACAATGTGTCGCGGACATGTTGCCCGCGAGCTACAGGTTGGGCGGGCCTGATCTACATGTCATGGCGACTCGACCACAAAGTTCACTTCAACCTATGTGCAATTCACGGTGAGGTACACGCTGAAGAACGAGAGAGAGAGAGAGAATGAGAGAGAGAGAGACACACACACACACACAAGGTTATTTTAACTGTTAGATGTGTGCTGAGGATAATGAAGAAGCTTATCGGTCTGACATGAACTCAGTACAGCCAGAAAATCATGCTGGAGGAGTGGAGTCTGCATAATGAGAGGTTTCAGAATATTTACCGATAACCAATCATCATTTGGTTTCCTAAGATGCAATATCTTATGTTATGAGATGATAAAGTTGCGTCATATTGTGATAAATATATATTTGTTTAAATCTTGTCAGTCTAATCACAATAAAATTCCTATTAAATATTAAAATATTATTATAATTAACATTTAAATATTTAAAATATATTAAATGATGTTCTCTATCGAAATGTTCGATTTACATTAGATCATCACTTTTTACACGACATGTTTTCCGAGAGCGGTCTCCTGTGCTTTGTCTCTGTCTTTGTCTCGCGCTCGTAATTGTACTTCATACGATAGTACAGAGAGCAGACAGGAAGCTTGTCTCTGTCGCGTGCAGCCAAATTGTACCTTAAGGCTCTGAAAGTGAAGCACATCTTGGCGAGATGCTGCAAGTGTGTTTCGAGATCGAATTGTCTCGAAAGTATGATTATTTAAGCGGTATGTTATCAGACTTCCCTACCTTCAGTGGCCTCGACTGACTCGGGATAACTTCGAAGGACATGGATTCCTATTCGAAAGTTGTTCTCTCTGAGCCCCTCTATACGCTCCTTCAGTTTGGCCCTAACCTTTTGAATCACCCTGTATATCTGAAGTTTCCAGCTGTATCCTCACACAAAGCCATAGTTAAAGAATAGAACAACAGTATACATTATCAACTTTATAAAAATTACGAAAACTTGTGAATCAGTGGCTCTAAGCACTTACATTGGGAATGAAAATGGAGCACGTATGCTGGATATGGGACACTTTTCGACTCAGAGATGTATTACGTCAGGTTTTTCGCCGGTTTAAGTTTCATTTATTAATTTGTCTGCTTAATAGTTGCGACTTCTCAACCACTATGACTTCATGCGAAGAAAGCATTTCTTCCAGATAGTGGAATTGTAACCGATTTTCTTTAAATTAATAAACAAGGCTGTGTACAAAATGTTCCGAGGTATAACTTTTCCGAGCAACAGAAGAAATCCTTCCCTCTACGTTTGTTCAAATCTTAACTGCTAGCTTCAGAATCCTTTTTCCAGAAACCACTTTTCATAAAATCCGTAAATCTCGTATAATTTACGGGATATTTTTTTTAATTTTTTTCCATATACAGAGTGAGTCAAAAGTATGTTTACAAACTTTGTGTGCGTGTTCCTGGATCAAAAACAAGAAAAAATGTTCCTATGAACATGGGGTCGCAAATGTTTCTTTTTCGAAATAATAGCTGAAAATAATTTTCATTGTATTCCTTTATTGCCAAGTATAAGGACAGGGATGTTTCTTTATAACAGATGTTCAAAGGTTTCGACTCCATTCTTCACATGCACGAGTACGACATACACAAGAGTGACGAATTCGTTCGTACACTCCAGGGTTTCCTCGAATCATTTGCCATGCATTCTGCACACGTTCCCATAGGTCGTCTTCACTGTTTATGGGTGTTGAATAAACGGCGGGCTTCAAGTGACCCCCACAGATAAAAGTTCAATGGAGGCAGGTCCGGTGACCTCGGTGGCCACGCTACTGGGCTGAGGGTACTGTTCATTGTGATGATATCTGACGCGCCGGGAGAAGTTTGCTGGGGCTCTGTCGTGCATAAACAACATTTGTCTTCTTGTGTTCGGTGGTACATCTTCAAGGAGACGTGGCAAGTGTCTTCTTAAGAACCACCGATATGAAGGTCCTCTTAGACGCGATCGAAGCATGTGTGGACCAATAAGCATGTCGCCAACAATTCCTGCCCAAACGTTAATCGAAAATTTTTGCTGGAAGCTTGATTCATTTTGCTTTAAAGTCAAATTCATCGAAACTTATTTTTGGCTATTATTTCGAAAATAAAACATTTGCGACCCCATGTTCATAGGAACATTTCCCCTTATTTTTGATTCTGGAACACGCACACGAAGTTTTTAAACATACTTTTGACTCAGCCTGTATATACAGAATATATTTATATACTTAAGGAAAATAATAATTATAATAAAAATGGATGGGACAAAAGGTGTGCACTGGGTATTGGTTGGGAAGCCTGAGGGGAAGAGACCGCTGGGGAGACCTAGACGTAGATGGGAGTATAATCTCAGGCGGGATCTATGGGAGATAGGAGTTGAAGGAGACTGGATTTCGTTCGCCCAGGACAGGGTCCGGTGGAGGGCTTTGGTTAATTCGGTGATGAACCTTCGGGTTCGGTAAGCCATCTAGTTAGTTGGTTATACAGAAACATATTGTCTATGTTGTTATAATTGTTTTTGTTATTGTTTCAGTGTCTTTTGGGATTTGTATTGTGCGGCGCCAGAGAGGAGAGACACATGTGAGCATTCAAGTGAAGCGAAAGCTTTCCACGACTACGTAAGTGAATTCTAATTCTCTTATTAGTAACCCATTTGTTGTTCGCTCTTTCGTATGACGAAAACACGTGGAGGAATTAATCTCGTTTGTGTAGTACTTGAAGAATACCAAGAATTTCATTTGTTGCTGCTATAGGTTATACGAAATTGTGTGCTTCAAGGTCACAGCAAAATTGTACAACTCAACAAAGACTCCGAAACCCAGGGGACTGAGGACGACTCAGAATTTGCAGCGTAGGCCAACGGCACTGTTCTATTGACAAATAGGGGGAGTGAAGCCCTTCGTTGGCCTTGAAACACGAAATTTGGTGACGGATATTGTAATATTATAATGGTGATGAATTATAATTATAATATTATTGGATTAGGCTACTACTGTCTCTTGTTAGTAAGTGCATATATGAAGATTACGGTAATGACCTTCACAAGATGCGACAAAATTTCTGTTTCCTAATATTGAATATGATTCATGTAAAATTTTTCAAATTTCTGTTTCCTAATATTGAATATGTTTCACGTAAAATTTTTCAATCCCGGAAGTTTTTGTAGGATTTTTGACATTACTTTGCTAAGATAAAAATATATAAAGCGAACTTCGATATTACACGTGTCAGGGGACAGCTTCAGTGCCCACGTTATACGTCAATGACCCAGAGCATGTATATAATCTTATCGAGAGACATGATCACAGCCGCGTTATATCCGAAACCGCGCTGTATTTTGGCGTATTTTTTTTTCTTCGAAATTTTGAAAACCTCAGGAGTGGGCGTAACATATTACATTTAATACCCATATAAAAAATAAAATTTATCGAACCTGAGGATAGTGGTTGATCAGATGTGTTTTTCAATACACTAAAGCAAAGTGTATAAAAATTATGGATGAATTTGTCTTACGTCGGCATTTTAATATGTTTGAATCTAAACTGTCAAATGCGTAAGACAGAATTCAACAGTACGATGTTTTGAAGGTATCCAAATTGTTCTCAGCTGCCGTGTTGGAGAGGATGGAAAATTTGTTTATTCATATAAAATTTAGTGTTATTTTGAAACAGTTTCTCATTGAGATTCTTCGAAAACCAAAATTAAAACATTTCATTATGGTATACTCGTTATTTGTATAGGCTGCTATATATAAAAACTGTGTAGCGTAATAATGAGCTCTCTATACCAAAGATTATGTATCACTGCGCCATCTCCTTGTAGTTCGTACCTTTTTAGAGTTTTGATTCCTGATTCTTAACAATTCGTGACAAATTAAAGAAGATTAAGGCGTGTGAGTTATTCAATAGGTGGTGTTGTGTAACCAAGCAATAATTTTACTTGTCTGTAACATCCACACAAATGGCGAATCTGCGTAGGCCTGTTGATACTTCAAAGTTCAGTTCTAGAGTCAAGTCTGTTGTGCGCATGTCACAAGTCAGTGTATTTATCGGACTACATGCAGACTGTCAGCTGTCACAGTTTTAACTGATGGAAAATTGGATTTTTTTTCGCAGAATTTACATGTCTCATGTAGGCTACGTATATGCTACCTTATTCTTGTTAACAATGTTTTGAATAAGATGGTAAAGTTGCGTCATATTGTGATATAATAAGTATATATTAAATCTTGTCCGTCTAATCACAATAAATTCTTATTAAATATTAAAATATTACAATAATTAACATTTAAAATATTTAAAATATTAAATGATGTTCTTTATCGAAATATTCTATTAACATTAGACCATCATTTGATATCTGGTAAAAATCTGATAAAAATGCACGCTAGCATAATGTATGAAAATTGTATTTGAATTATTTATCGTTTTGAAGCTTTATATAATTATATACACCTGAAGATGGTTCTTTTAGGAACTGAAACATGTCGTGAAACATGAAAAATGATGGTCTAATGTAAATCGAATATTTCGATAAAGAACATCATTTAATATTTTAAATATTTTAAATGTTAATTATTGTAATATTTTAATATTTAATAAGAATTTATTGTGATTAGACGGACAAGATTTAATATATACTAATGTTTTGAATATTGAATACGCTAAATCTTATCGTTATTCTTAACATCGTATAGTTGCAAGGATATTAACACAAGAATTGTAAATAGTCGAATCTGCCATTTTCATCTTGAATCAAGGCCAACTTGAATTCCGATTAACCAGTCTAGACAGAAGAGGTGGACAGGACTATTAAAGATGTATTTTATGTTTAAAATGCCGCAATATAAATTTCCTGTGGGTGTTTTACGCTAAGATACATTGTACTATATTTCGTTAGGCCTATATTTACGTCTGCTGAGAATCGGAAGAACACTCTTGGATGTACGCGGAAATGTATTGTAATTTAATTTGGCAGCATTGGTAAATGCGTTCAATAAAGCGTTGATGAGAATGGTACAGAATTTATTTGAAAGAGTACGCAAGTAACGGACTACTTGGGGGGGGGGGATTTTTGGTTTGGTAAATGACAGAAGACGAAATGATTGTTACGTCAAGCTGTGTGGCATCTCTTCATACGTAGACTCTTTGCGACTATTTTTTTGTTGTAAAATAACTCATTTAATGTCTTGTTATTTGTAACTTGTGTATCTTTTTTGTAGATGTAAGTATAATGTCGCTTGTTGATAGCAATGACGGATTGTTCCTTGGGGCCAGCTTCCTCGAGGCATGTGGCGTAATATTAACTTGTACTTGCGAACTCCCTAACCTCAAAATTAAAAGTACAGGCAACGAACGAGTTCTGTTCCAAGACGTTGTTCGTTATGTGTATCTTGCATTTCTGAGCTTTTACGATACGTATCGTATACGTTAGCAGCCATTTTAAAGCATTAAAACCATGTACTAAGTATCATATAATTATTATTATTATTATTATTATTATTTAGTGTTCTGTCTGACGACAGGTCCATATACTATGAACAGGATCCTTCCATCCTTTTCTCGGACTGGGACCTGTTCATATACGTTCTTGGCAGATGATCCAGAAGTGGTTTGCCATTGCCTTCTTCTGTGTGTGAATGGAGTAAGTGTTGGGATGCCACGGAGGAAAACTCCGTGTTGCCTAGACCACGGCATTTGGCGACTTTAAGAAATTTCGAATGAATTATGACGTTCGTTATAGCGAACGTTCGTAAACCGAGAGTTGCCTGTACTGACAAATCTTGAACTGTTGTGTGACAACTGCTTGTGCTCCTTCCAGGTAGGAAAATGCCAGTTAAAAACAAAGCTTGTATTTTTGTAAGCCTCTTTCCGAAGTCTATACAGAAAATATTCTTACTTTTCGTTCCGGTCTGCAGTGGAGTATGATGATAGTTGGCAGCATTGAACCCTGCGAGATGACGTGTGCATGCTTTGAGACCTGGTCACAGTAAGAAAGGGATATTTTGTATTTGTAGACCAAAAGGTTTGCTGAAGTTCCGCGCTAGCATGATACATGCTTCCATTTTGCGTCTCCCCCTTTTGATTTTTATTTACTTATGACCCCCACATAACATTCCCCTCTCCAGTTAAGTTTTAGGGCTCTTGTTAAATTTCCAACGTTCTTCTTGAGTGATGGAAAGAAATTGTTTCAGTAGAATATTGTCGGATTTGACGCAAATGGTGACACCACGTCGGAGCGCCATTTTATGGATGTGGTAGATTTTCAGACATTTTGTAGGACGTACACACACAACCGAAAATTACTTTGGAGGTTATATAAAAGCACCGTTGTTTGATATTTGCGTTTCGCTTCAAGTTTTGGCTTGTTGGAATGGCTTTTGGTGTGGAAATGTCAAATCACGGGGAACATCGGTATTTTTCTTCGTGGCTCGATTGTCTGAATATGTTTCTGCATTGGTGCTGATTCGTCATTCCGTGTTTGTAAACTGGATACATAAGCCGGATATACGAGGTGCGATCGGAAAGTTTCTAGACTGCGCGTATAAAAACCCGTACACTTATCTCAGGTATTAAATTCATCCATCACCCTCGAAGTAGTCCCCCTGGGAGTGAACACAACGATCCCAGCGCCGCTGCCAAGCCTGGAAGCATCCCTGGAAATCTTTCTTTGTCAGCCTGTCAAGCACCATCTGCGATTCTGCCTGAATCTCTTCTATCGTCTAAAATCTCCTTCTCTTTAGCTGAATTTTCATCTTTGGGAAGAGGAAGAAGTCACACGACGAATAAGGATGGTGTGGGATGACGGCCATGGTGTCTGAGGCCAAAAACTGCCGAACTTTGAAGGCGGTGTGCGCTGGTGCGTTGTCATGATGCGTCGCATGTGGAGTTCTTCCTTTAGAATCAGCTGACAGGTCCCATAGCCTATCCCAACAATGTCGCACAAGTCGTTGATGGTACGACGTCGATCTTCGTAACATTTTCGGGCGTTGTGCTCGAAGATGGTCGTCCAGAACGCTCGTCATCATCGACAGAGGTTCGGCCATTTTTAAAACGTGAATGCCACACAAAAGTTTGCGGACTCCCCAAATGCTTGCTTTAGCATTTCATAGGTTTCCGTAGCCGTTTTGGCGAGTCTTTGGCAAAATTTGATGCACACGCCATTCCGAAAGCGCAGGAGGGTCGGTGTAATGCACTACAAAAACGCCCGTAACTAAGAAAACGAAAACCATCGCACAGGCCTACAAATGCAGTTGACCTCTTAAGTACAAGACACATTAAGTGCCAACGCTGACGTATGTATTTTATTAATATTTTTTGTGAACTTTGTGTTATGACTGGGGTCTCGACATTGATAAAGAGAAGACGAAAGAATAACACAATTGTACCCCGATGTCCATGTACCGAATTCTGGCGTCGGCATAGCTCATTCGCTGTTATCGTACCGACTTACCCCGTCTCCGGACAAGTCTTAACAAATCTACAGAACGTAGGTGTTTGATTTTTGGTTTATTTATCAGCATTTTATGATTATTCGGCGTGTGGAGGGAATGGTGGTTACGAAGATGATTTTCAAAGCCCGGTAAGGAATCGGGCGTGGGTATCCTAGAATTTGAGTA